TTTGTTACGGCCTCTTGTATAACCGTTTTCTTCCAATTTTCATCAGTTGTATGGACAGATAGATTGTGGAGTGTGAAGCCAAATGAGAAGGGTTCCTTACTATTTGTGATACTGTCTTCATATCTTACATGAATATCAGTTATTTTAAGCTGGACATTTTTGATAATTTGCGTCACCAATTTTTCGACAAATGTCTCATCTAGTTTATTAGCATCTGAAATTACATATCTGTTAAGTATATTGAACTTAAATACACAATATATGTGTGTAATATTATAATAACCTTTCTGAGCCTCCTTTTTCTTAGCTTCTTCCACTCTTGCCAACTCAGCCTGTTTGGCAGCCAGTGCCATCTTTTCTTCCTTTTCAGGGTCATATTTAACTTCAGCGGAGGGATTTACAATAAGGAATAATCTCTCTATAGTTGCTTCTACGGATGCTCCATAGAGATTTTTCCATGGTATCTTCAGCACAAGTTTACCTGTGATATTAATACAATATAATTGATATGAAGTATGGGTTTTAACTTACAATTCTAGTCAAAAATATCCATTCTTTTTTAAGAAACTTGACATCCAAATAAAATTCTTATATAAATTAATTAACAAATACATATATTTAAAATATTTATCTTCAATTCTATTAAATTAAAGCTTCTATTTGTCTTTTCATTAAATTTGCAATGTTTACCATTTTCCACATTTACTGATAACAGTTTAACCGCAATTATTACACACTAAATACCTAATATATTTTTATTTCAAAACATAATATGATTGCATTACAGTTAAATATATGTAATAAGAATATTAGATAATAAAAAAAATCTTCAAAATCATCCAAAAAAGACAAATCAATGAAAATATATGCAAGAATTTTATTCATAAAATAAATCATTGAAGGTCAACAATTTGAATATCTATAATTATAATTTTTATCACATCAGTTCAATGCAATGACCTTCCAATTAAGAGTACTGACTCACAATCTACCAACCAAATGATTTATGTGCATGATGTCACTATAGTCTGTTCCTTCATAGTAATTAGATGGCTATACACAGCATGCTAAGTGTTCTAACCTTGTTATGTGAACAGATTTAGTTACAACATAAACAAAACAGTACATTCATATTTGATTTACATTAAAGAAACATATAAATTGTAAATATTATCTTATATATAAAATTTTTGATAATATTTTGTGAGCATATTGTGACCGATTTTGATGAAATTTTGTGAGCATATTGAGTAGGTCTGAGTATCGGCCAATATCTATTTTTCATACCCCAAGTTGTAATGGTGGTTCACCCTTAATTTTTTGTTTTTATTTTTTTATAATGTAGCATTAAAAAATACATACAACCCAAAATTTTTACTTTTTTATCACCAACCCCTATTTTTTATATGGCAAAACAATGTTTGCCGGGTTGGCTAGTTATAATATATTATCATCCTAACAATACTATTAACAATATAAATATTAAAAAAAATCTTAGATTGATTTAAATCTCATTGAATTATATCAAATCACTTATATTTCTTCTTGATGTAAAAGTATTTTTTTATTAAAATGCATTTAAAAAAGTATGCTTTTGCCAGTGAATACTGCTGTTGTTGCATCATTAATATAATAATAATTAAATAAATATCGTTATATCATGCTGAATTAAAATATATTATTATATGAATTCCATACACATTCAATACAATATAATGATAATAGTTCTTTACAATCAAAAGTTAGTTAAAGAATAGTTATTTTTACTATTTTTCAACACTAACATGTTTTGATTATTTTATAATAAAAAGGAATATAGTAATAAACCTAAAAATTCTATACAACAACATATAAACCTCTCATTATGTTAACTATAATTTAATCTACCATTAAATATTTCATATTGAAACAATATTTATTTTTTGTATACTATAATATGCCTTTTAAAACAAGAAATGGTTATATTCTCATAGTATTTTAAAGTATTGTGATTTGAGTATTTAACTGCTCTTTTCTTGTAATTATTTTAATTTGTTCAATATATTTTCTAGATACAAATATAAAAAAGCATTCCATACACAAATTTAAAAATCAGTAGTTTGCTTTCAAAATTAAATAATATATTAATAAAAAAAATATATAATGACACTAACCCAAATGTCCATAAACAGTTTGTACCGGAATATTAAGTTCTTCGAGGGCATTTTGTTTAAGTATCAAGTTCTCGAGAACAACATCCCCTGAAAAATAGTCAAAATCTAAGTACCCGCAGAACACGCTTCTGTACTTATGACATCACGCTACGCCGTAAAACTTACCGCCCCAAATACCTAGTTTTAACTGAGACCTGTTCAAATTTTCAACATAGTCTCCTAAGAATCTATTTAACACATCTACCACTATCGACTCGAAAACCATTGTAAAGAATTAAAGATTTTGTAACTTTTAAAATATTATTTTGATCAGTTATGTCATGATGAAATTAAAATACATAAATATTGTAATAAACATCCTTACAATAAATAAATGGTAAAATTAATTCTATTGAAAGTTATCCAATAATCATTTCCGTCTAACACACAATAAAAAGATTTTTAAGAAAATACCACTCCTAAATCAAAATCCGTGCAAAACGTCTGACAGGCAACAATAACAAATTATAGTTTTAACTTTTAAACGTCAGTTGTCAAATTAGCTAATTTTTTTCATATGACTAAGCATGCAAAAGCTGAGGCTATACATCCTTTATTATCAATTTTTATAATTTCATTGTTTTATGCGTTTCATACTAGTAATTTTTTATAAAACTAAAAAAAAATCTTTTTATTATTCATGAACATAGAAGTGTCTACTATCCACCAAATGTTAATAGTTTCTAAATATATGAAAATGAGAGTCCAAAAACTTTCTTGTTATTATGCAAATGTAAAAATGTAATAAAATATTAATTTTATCTCTCATAAATAAGAAAAATAAAACTATAATTTAGAAAACACCAAAAATTTTGTTGTCAATAGATATTTCTATTGTTAATTAAATCTGTGCTTAATGATAAGATTTAATATACACATATCCTACCTTTCTGCTTATTACATGCAACTTACTTTCTGCTTATTACATGAATTTATTTATTCAATTACATTTATTTCAAAAGAACTTAAACTTAATTATTGACAATACTTTTCTGTTTTATATTTTTACTATAAAAATATAATAATTATTAGGGGTTTGCAAAAGTTTCAATATTCTCGACGTCTTATGCGACTCTGTCTCATTAATTCAACTACTAGCTATGGTTATTAGAAATATTTAAGAATTTTTTTATTTAATAAACAGGCATGTAATGGCGACGTTAATTATTTTAGCTAATAAATTTCAATAACAAAATTTGGTGATATTGTCCCATGACTATTGCTGTTCTTCAACTCAATCTGTATTATACAATTCATCCTTACCCACTTTGTATATTGTATTCGGCCAAAGACACGCTCGTATAAATTCTTAGTACTCCAGAAATTCTTTAACCGTACTAGTTGGCCATATTTTCTATACAGAAAATATTTTGCGGTAATTTGGCAAAGATTAATGGTAAGACTTGTGTTGAATTATTTAATATCAATAAAAAAAATGTCTGTAACTGGTGAAGTAGCTTTATTTATAATATAACATACATTTATTTTTAACATTCAATTATTTCTTAACAAACTACAAACAATGCGTATTTACTGCATAAAAGTAATCAAATTTATATTTCGGAAAATTCATTTTTTTCCAATAACATACTGTATCCATTAATATACATCGCTACTACATATGATGAAAATGCATTTGCTACATTTGTATAGAGATTCTAATCCAAAATATTTCAGAAAATTTTGTTACAGTAATTGTTGTTTTACCAAAAATAAAAATCTAAAAATATATGTCAAGGCATTTGTTTAGCGTATACATTTATAATGTTAGCCGTTAGGAACATCCTAGTTGAAGCTAAGTGAGACAAAAGTCGGTTACAATACATTTACAACTTATCACCTACATATCACCATGTGAAAATTATTAAGTTTTCACCCATGTTTGGAATCAACACATATCAAAGATAAAAATCTTACCATAAGGAGTATTAGGCAACCACCCTCATAGATGTTTCACAAGTCATACTTAATAGTAATCACACAATACTCAATATCAATTAGAATTATAAAATGAAGGTAATAAAATGTTATTGTACTTTTTGAATTTTTTTCAATATTTCATTACAAATAAAAATATATATAGATGTTACAGAATATATGACTGCATTTAAACAATCAATGGCATTAAAAATATAAAAACATCTGAAGTTATAGTAATGCATCAATAAACTTCATATAAATTTAAGACTACATACAAGTATGTCTAAAATTTTTGGGGCATATACATTTTATCCATATTCAACAAATACTAAACACAACATAGATTATCTTAATGTATACTAATAATAGTGATGAGAGCATTTTTTTTCTATTCTGATTTTATTATGTAGCATCATGTTGACTAGGGTTAATTTAAAATTTTTATACATATCTAATAGCATAGAATGATAACAATTTTAATATATACTTTCAATGTTATACTGAAATTTGTTAACAATGTTTTTGTTTGTGCATATTTCTTAAGAAATTTCAAATGCTTTAAAAGATTGCATATTAGACAATATATTATATTGGTAGAATGTTGTTATATAAAAAAATATAATGAATTCTTACAGTAATGCAGATTAATCTTACAAATAATAGCAGTTTAACATTGAAAGAACTATATAACCATCAAGGCCATATATAACATATAAAATTTTTTGAAATGTTAATTTGTTATTATGTTGAATTACTGGGCTCAAAGACACTGGGTTAAAAAAATCTACATAGCACTACTTAAGCTAGAAGTTACAAATTAAAATTAATGGACTCCATTGGATACTTTCGCTTGACCATTTTCTATGATGGTTTTCTCTTCAACGAGGCTCAACGAAGATCATCATCTGAAAATAAGACATGTATTAAAATCATCATCCTTTATCTTATCTTAATATAGGACAATAACATTTATTATGAATATGTTTAAACATATCATTTTAGTTTAATTTTATTTACCTGAACTAACATCTGACTGATTCCTAGGACTGAATCTGCAACCCTTTGACATATAATTTTTCAGTTTTCCAAGAGAAGCAAGTATAAATCTAAAAAAAAAAACATATAGAGAAAAAATTAAACACATTTTGTTATAATATAGATATGGGACTTTTTTCAATGTTTAAGTTTAAAAAAAAACAACATTCCATATGTTTAACAACTGCATTCATATGAATATGTTGTTACATTTTCTTTTTAAGGATTCATAATGCCATATTTATGACAGTAATGGAAATGTGTATAACTATACAATTAATTGCAATATTTACAATAATATTGTAGAAATAATGTGTCTTTAATTATACAGCTGCGTGCAAAAGTATTAGGCAATTGTTAGTCACTATCTCATTAGATAGCAAGTGTGTGTTTTATGGTTTAATTGTATTAGCGGCAATTTTTAACCAAATTAAGATAAAAGAAAATATTTATGACCCAGGTGTGCTCCTAAGCGGTGTTTCTTCGAATTTGCTTTTTTTGCGTTTGGGGTTATAGTGTGTTATCAGTGCTTGCAGTGAACATACACGTCTTCTACGCAACTATTCCTATCACAATAAAGACTAACATTTAAAATCATGCCGAAAAAATCTTAACTTAGTGCTGAACAGCATCTAAGAATTAAGATTTTACATGAACAAGGCATATCTCAGGTTAAAATAGCCCGAGAAGTGAAGTGCTCGCAATGTGCAGTTCAATATGCTATAAATCGCTTCAAAGAGACTGGCACCCATGAAAATAGACCAAGAACAGGCAGAAGAAAAGTTACTTCTGATAAGATCGATTGTTGATTAGGCAGTCTCTACAAAACAGGAAAATGCTTTAGAGCTCGCTGCAGCATTATCTCAGGCAAAAGGCAGCTCTGTGAGTGTTTATACTTGAGAAGAAGACTTCTTAAAGCTGGATTAAAAGGATGTAAAGCAAGGAAGAAGCCGTGGCTGTCAGAACACAATAAGAAAAATCGGTTGGATGGGCACTCAAACATAGACAGTAGAAGATCGGAAATACTGTGGTCATCTAACTTACATTGTTATTTATGTTAAGTACAATATTAAAACAATAAATGTTTTTAAAATAACGTACTGCAAGAAAGATAATAACTTTGAAAATAAATGGGTTTTTTTTTTGGGCATAGGTGTTTTTAACACCCGGTGTGACTCATGTTAGGCGAAGGGTTGGCGAAGAATACCTAAGCATGCTCAATAATGATCTGGGGCTGCATGGCTTCATGGAGTGGGCGAAATGGTGTTGTGTGAGGGACGAATGAAATACAAAGTTCTGGAAAATAGCACTAGCCCTAACGCAAATTTTCGGTGATACAAACACCGATGGCCTGAAATTTCAGCAAGACAACGCCACTGGCCACAAGTCCGCGGGTTTGCTGAAAATCATATTGATCTTTTGGACTGGCCACCACAATCACCAGACACAACCCGATGGAGCATATTTGGTTTATTTTAAAGAACCGCAGGTACTCGATTAGCAATAAACAAGCTCTATTGGCCGCGTTACAGCAGGAATGGAAAAATATATCAAGAGAAGAATGTTTCAGGCTGGTAGAGTCAATGCCATGCGTGTGCGAGATGAATCAAAATAAACGACCATAAATGCGAATCTTGCTAAAACCGGCCTTCTCTAATCTTTCTATATTATAGAGCACTCAGGGTTCACTTCATATCGGTGCCTGTGACGTTCCTCTATCACTTCCTTCTTGTACACTCAGTTTTCAGCTGGGGATATACAGTACTTTATTAAAATACATATAAACAATCATTACATCTCGTTTAATTTCAGGGCATACTTATAGCCCTAACCCCTGAATTCTGTCAAAATTCTAATACAAAAAGACCATTCTATACCAAAATACAATTTATAGCAAGTATAAAGGCTGTCTAACTCTAATTCATTTAGATTGAAGCAAAATCTATTATTGTAAAATTAACTTAAAAAAGTTTTAATGTGGCCAATTTCAAATTTAATTGTCTGTTCAAATCAATTAAAAGATTTTTGCATAAGAAGGCTCCGTTATAAGTATGAGTAAAAACGTGATATTTCAATATAAAACAAAATTTTTAATTAAATCAGATAATAACTTACAAATTATGCTAGGTTCCAAATAGGTCTTTCTCTTTCCCAACCTCATGGTACCGCCAAGGTTTCCAGGATGATGTTCTGGCATATCAATAACGAGCTTGTCCTCACAGTCAGGATTAACTTCTGTACTATTAGCTCCCTTAAGACCTAACACATTTCTAGCAAATTCTATGACAGCTGCTTGTAAGCCCAGACATATAGCTAACATCGGCTTTTGAGTTTCCCGGCACCAACGGCATGCTTCTATTTTCCCTTCTAAGCCTCTCTGACCAAAACCACCAGGTACAATGAGACCACTAAAATTTTATGAGAGATTTTATTAGTATCAAAAATTCATTATAATTGAAATGAATTTATAAAATATTTATGTGTTCATTAAAACAATATAACTGTCTTATTCTAATTAAAAAAACTGTAATTACTGTAATAATGACTTATTTTGTAGTAATGTATGTATTTCGATGTACATTATGTACCAATAAAAACATGCTTATTCATTAATTTATAAAATAACTTATGTTAAAGTCAAATCAGATTTAATCCGAGTAAAACTTACTCGCTTTTGCAAACTTCTTGCCAGGCCTTGTGATAGCTAACTGGATTATCGATTTTCGTTTGTTCTTCTAAATTAACTGCTTCAATATATGTTAACTTCAATCTGCACCCAGCAGCTATACTCGCATGCTGAAGAGCTTTAGTAACACTGGCATAACTGTCCTCTAATTTTGTATACTTGCCAACAAGAGATATATTCACTTCTTTCCTTAAGTTATCTACCCGTTTTGCTAGATTTCGCCATTTTTGCATGAACCTAAACAAAGAATCATTTAATAATTTCCCTTTTCAAATATTCAGATAGTTTAAAAGTATTTAATATACCTGCCAGGTCTAGGTATAGCAATATTTAACTGTAGCCTTTCATTCAAGTACTGAACAACTCCTTGAGCCTCCATCAAAAGTGGCACATGATACACTGAACTCAAATCATGAATACAAATGACCTATAACAATAAACATAGCTATATAACATCTTAGCCTTAATAATATTATCTATTAACCTCAATTATAATATCTATTAATCATTAATATTTATTAACCTGATTTATAAATATTTTAGAAAGTATAATAAATGCATATTTTTTACCTGATCTGGGGCTACATGACAAAAGTTAGAAATTTTCTCTTTCACATTGTGGTTTATAGGTTTCTCTGACCTACATAGAATGAGATCTGGTGACAAACCAAGACCTCTCAATTCCCTCACTGAAGATTGTGTAGGCTTTGTTTTTGGTTCACCTGTTGATTTTGGCTAAAATAAAAAATATATAACATGTACACAGGTAGAACAAAAATTAATTAAAATTATGTTTAGAGTGAGTACTTTAAAAAGTCAGAATAAGTATCTACATTTTGAATATTATTAAGTTATCAATATGAATTTGCATGTTTGCATGGATGCAAGTATAATATTGAATGTGTATGATTTATTATTATAAATGAAATAAAATTCAATGTTTTTGAATGGTTTAAATGTTTAAACTTTATTTATGAAAAGTTGAATATATTTCAAGTTTGAAAATTGATAAAAAAAACAGGTTTGCTTGTTGCAATATTATTGGCTTACCATAGGTATTAATGAGACATGAGCACAACAAAAGTTTTCCCTCTTAACCCTAAACTGAAACTGTCTGAATGCTTCAACAAAGGACATTCCTTCAATGTCACCGATTGTTCCACCGAGTTCCACAATACAAACCCTTGGCGGATTGTTCTCTGGTGTGACAGGGATATGTGCAACCCTCTGCACCCATTCTTGAATTGCATCAGTAATATGTGGAATAACTAAAACATAATTAAAAAAATTGTTTTATATTTTGTATTTTTTTTTGTTAATTAACTAATCCTATGCAGGAAATTTTTCACTTTCTTAATTTCCAAATTTTTTGTTTTTCACATTTAAACACTTATTTTAGACAATTTTATCTCACATTTATGGTCATATGTGCAGAAAGATTAAACAAATAATGGGCGAAAAATAAATGGTTCAAAAATGCACCACAGTTTAATTCATAATTAATACTGCTTACCTTGCACTGTCTTTCCTAAATAATCACCACGACGCTCTCGCTCTATAACCTGTTGGTATATTTTTCCTGTAGTAATATTGTTATCCCTATGCAATGTTATGTCTAAGAAACGTTCATAGTTGCCAAGATCAAGATCTACTTCGCCACCGTCATCAAGCACGTAAACTTCACCTAATAAAATGAATTTAAAAAATTAACGATGTTTTAATTATTGACATAGATATTCTCTTTTTTAAATAACTTACCATGTTCATAAGGAGAGAAGGTTCCTGCATCAATATTAATATAGGGGTCGATTTTTATTGATGTTACATCAATACCACAATTTTTAAGAATTGTGCCAAAAGAACTAGCGATGACACCTTTTCCTACGCCACTTATAACGCCACCAGTAACAAGGATATATTTCATATCAGGCATGGTGAATAAAAAATAGTTTCAACTCGTCGAACGAATTTTGTCTAAGTTTTAGGTTAATGCGGTCAATAACAACGCAAAACACACGTTTTAATATAACCATAAATCTTCCATCTCAAAGTATTTTCAATACATGAGCGCAGCCCGTTAACATTTGACAGTGACATTGATTATTCCTAAAATAATTGGAATGAATGTTGTTTATAAATATACAATTTATATTTTCCTTAAAAAATCTCTTTCAAATGCAAAAAATTAAGGTGTTTATAATTAATAAAATACATTAATAAAAATAAATACCCTCTTTATTCAATTTATATAAAATCTGTAAATATTTTTTTTATGTGTATTATCAACAATAGTTTTCTATCATTAGTCTGTTTTATGTACTATTATATCTAAATTAATTATGTATTTTAAAATGATTTGTAATTCTAACATATTAATAACATTTTTTAAAAATGGTTTAAGTGACCTTTTGTTACAGCTACAGTTGTCAGTTACCATTTAAATCTTTATTGTTAAAAGATTTTATTTTATTTTACTTAAATATAAAATTGTAATGGGACTACTGATTACGGTTCCATATAACCATTTATTACTGATAACAAAAATTATAATTTTTAAATAGACAACAAATTTTGTAATAATAACTAGACTCAGTAACTATCAAAGGATTACCTAACTGTCTTCCTACCTAGTTTTGTATAACTTTTGCCATGGAATTATTCGCACTGGAATTGTCGAATATTTTACCGATGTCAACGTTTTTATTTATTGGAAGAATTATAATCATGAGAATTGTGATGAGAGACCTAAAATCCTCGTTTCCAAGTTTGTTTAATTGACTTTGACGTAAATCTGTCACTTTCCATTGAAGTTATACTCGTGTTATGGTAAAGCAGAGCGTCAGTTTTTGTAACTCTCAATAATTAGAAAACATCATATATATTTCAATATGCCTAAATATTATTGTGACTATTGTGATACATACCTCACTCACGATTCACCAAGTGTAAGGAAAACACATTGTACAGGAAGAAAGCATAAAGACAACGTTAAGTTCTATTATCAGAAATGGATGGAAGAACAGGCCCAGCACCTTATCGATGCGACGACTGCTGCGTTCAAGGCCGGTAAAATTGCGCAAAATCCATTTGGGGGTCCTAAAGGCGCGAATATTCCTCCTCCATGGGATCCTTCTGTTATGGGTCCCGGAGGTCCTCGACCGCCCGTACCTACGCCAGGAGGACCTCCGGGAATGATTCCTCCTCCAGCTATGGGTCCAGGGGGACCTATGCCTCCTATGATGATGGGTCCTCATGGACCTATGGGACCAATGGGTATGGGTATGGGCATGAGGCCACCAATGATGGGACCATTAATGGGACCTATGGGACCAATGGGGCCCATGGGCCAGATGCGACCACCGTTAATGAATGGACCGCCTATGAATAAATAGTGAAGTGTTGTGGACTAGTGAAATAGACGATTGACTATACATATTGTTAATAAATAAATTTACTCATATAAGACCATTACAGTGTTTGTAAAAATTGTAGTTTTGTGAACATTGGTCATAGATTCTTATTTTTTAGAGTTATCAAAGGTTACAAACAATTTTTACAAAAACCCAAAATAAAGTATTGACCAAACAAAATATATTTTTATTTCATTTTACTTCAACTCTTTTTCTTTCACATGGTTGTTCATTATTTCATGATATTGCTGAGTAAGATTAACATTTAGCAATTACATATGTAGACGAGTGCACTATGTAGGGATTTGCTAAATTATAATAGTTTGTCTTGTCCCGTGTTTGAATAGGACATGGAGCGAGACTTACAAAATTTATTTTTCATTTATTAAATTTAAATATTATAATCTAACCATAAGAAAAATGTTTAAAAACTCAATTTGATGTTGGGCTTGGTATTGATCTCATATCAGTTCGTGATGTTGTACTAATTGAAGGTGTAGACATTTCTTCTCGATTAGAAAATATAAGTCCTATGAGGTCAACCACCAGCAAGAGCCCATTTATCATCGGTAATATACCATCTAAAACAAATGCCGCATGATACTTAGATTTTCCAATTTTCTTCAAGCCATTGAAAACAACAAATGACAAAGATATCTGAACAAAGCAGCAGGCGATCAGAGCATACATTTGAAGAAACCATGACGCATAATGTTTGTACAATGCACAAAACACAAAAATCCCAATAAATATATAAGTGGTGAACAAAGTTGTTGGGGCGGTGAGAGCGTGAGACATTCCAAGAGATGGTGTAGCAAGTTCATTTATGAGATCGGCTGTGTTTATAACCAATATAAATATTCGTAATTTTATTGAACAGCCCTGAATGTTCATTGAATTGTTTTCGCTACTACTTGAGTCGCACTTCATGGGTCAAGATTAAAAGTCTTTAAATAATATAAAATAAAAGCACTTGGCTAACATAATTTGAATTAAACGTATAAAAATACCTTCAAAAGACTTGACACTATAACGATATTCTATTTTCTGACAGCAAATTTTTTTATCTATTCTGTATCAGAATGTATAATTTTTAACTGGTTACATTGTTTAAATTTAAAATACGTCTAAATTTTCACTTCCTTTTCAAATATCATAAAAGAAACACTGGGTTAAAAATAATTACACAAAAAAATAAAAACATTACATATTTTAAAACATTTAATTAAAAATTTATTTCAATAACTTAAAAACCGCCAAAAGAATTACAAAAGTACCTATCTATGTGTACAAAATAAATACTTACAATCTAAATTAACTAGTTTTATCTTAATTTCATAAACTAAGATTGGCCCCAATAGAGCTTAAAAACAGGAAAAACAAACGAGCAGTTTGAACACTGGTTTACAATAGTATTAAACGTGCCAATAAAAATGGCACATTAAGCAAGAAAAGACTAGATTAAAGCTTCTGAAAAATTTAAATCGTTATATACAACTTGGTGATTTTGTAAAAAGCACTGTTTCACGCATACTCTCGTGAAACGAAAGTTTGGGGTGTCATCATAAAGCAGTTTCTAATGTTGATGGTGAAGATTTCCCTCTTTCAGGCGAAGTGTTGCTTCTGTTTGAACTCTTGAATGAACTAAGTTTGGATGCGGTTGGCTCAGGAATACTGTTAAAGAATTCGGCGCGTTTCGCTTGTATTATTTCGGACCTTGATAATGCCTGCGAATTTGTATATTCAGATGCAATGGGATACACACCCTGTTCTATAGCTGCGGGGACATTTTGTTCTTCGACAATTTTATGTTCATTAATCGGTATAAGAGATCTTCTTGCTCCAAAATGTTGATGAGTAATAATAGGAACTGTTTTCGACGGTGGGCTAGGCAGGGAATTGTCATTTTTTTCTCCGGAACTGTTTGAATTTTCATCTTCGTTATTTACTTCAGGTATAGGCGTCGACAGTACATCCGATCTAGGACTTGCGAAACGCCACTGTGATTTTGGAGACAAAAGAATTTTGGGTGAACTTTTGGGATCTTTTAACAATGTATTTATTCTTCCCGGTGATGTAGGTTGGTTTGATGATTTTATAATTTTTCTATGGTTATATGTTTTAGGAGATCCGCTAAGGTCAAGTATATTCACATGCGATTTGTTTCCAGGAGGCGTCATTGGAATCTGAGGCTTTTCTTTAGAAAGTTTTAATTGTTCAACTGCTGATAATTTACTAGTTTTTGCTTGAGTATTAAGTGTGTTTAGCTTTACGCTATGTTGTAAAAGTAATTTCTTGAAATCGAGTCTTGAAGTTTGTTGCAAAGGTCCATATCTGTCTGCACACGTTTCTTGTTTTTGTATAAAATACGGTCCATAATGATTTGGACTAGGTCCATTTTTACCGTCAGATCTATTTTTAACATCACCTAGGTATCCACTTTCCGGGTATCGTTGAGTACTCTTTTTATGCAAAGATGGTTCTGAATTTACAGGTGATAAACTAATAACAGATAAAGCTGGTGAAGCGGCTCTTTCCGATGGTTGATCCTTTATATTAAGTTTCTTTTTACTTTTGTGTATGACTGCGTATAACTCCTCATTAGTCATTGTAGATTTTACTGGCGATAAAAGTTTTGAACTGAGATCGACGACATTTTCTTTATTACTTGGTGTAGAAGATTTAAATGTTCCAGAATTTCTAGGATCTATTGGAGATATTCTAATCGATTCATCATTTTGACTTAAATGTTGCTTTTGTTGGTATTCAGAATCCGTGTGTATAGATTTTGGGCCGTATGAAGATTTTTCTTCAACAATAATAGGAGTTTGAGCATTTTGTGCAGATTTTTTAGGTAACGTCCAAAACTTTGGTTGTGTAGTTTCCACTTCATGATTGTTCTCGTTTGAAGGATGCCTTCCCCGAACTGTGTGGAACCTTTGTAAGGTCTGGTTATAATTGTATAGATTAATTGGAGGTTGATGTATTGGACGTGGAAATTGTTTTGAAGATGGAGGTTTGTCAGCGTTGGAATGTCGATAGTCTGAAACATAAAAATAATATCTTTTATAAACTTATCTTAATACTTTGAAAATTTTGTGTTCGAATTAAAAAAGGACAGGTAAGTTTCCGTTAATTGATATAAGTAAAAAGAGTAAATAAAATATAATTTGAATGACACTATTGAATTCTTACAATGAAACTTACTCTGCCTACTGTGAAGTTATGATATAGATAAATAAAAAGTATTTTCAATAATTTAGCCCAGGCATATTTTAAATCCACAAAACCCAAAAACATTACTTAATATACGTAGGTTAGAATAGGGCTTCACATTTTTATATCATCTTAAATTAAAACCTTTCACGTCTAAGTACTATTACAATTAATAATAATGAATTACATTTGCATATTAGTATTACATATGCAGCATCGCATTAAGCACAAAGCTTAAACAACTAAGTGAACTTAAAAACTATTTTTCAAGACTAAATTTCAGTGCATGGCATTATAATCTTTAAATTTTTTCAACTACAGTCATATGGAAAAAAGGGTATAAAAAATATTTCAGATCTTTATTATTTCGTTCACATGTTTTAAATGTTTTTCTGACTAGATTTGTAAATATCCTTTTTTCCAATTAATTGTATGTTTAAGAGATTAAATTATTATATAATCGTTTAAAAAAAAACATATAAAATTGTGTACTAGACCCCACATCAGCATACTATCTATATTATAGCTTGGATATTCTGTTTATCATTAAAAATGAGGAGAAGGAATTGGCAAATTAAATATATAGTAAACTAAACACAGTAGTAAATCACAAAAAATGTTAGTAAAGCATACATATGATTTTTAGGTCGTTTTATATATTAGTTTTAGTCATGCAAGGTGCAAAAATTACATGCTAAGAAGCAACAAAAACATTACCTTCGAAGTTTGAACTTGGCCTTAATAAAGTCACCTTTGGAAGCTATCTTGTTGATGTGCAAAAGCGTTTTTATGATCGGAGTTTTAATGTAATTCTTATGTATCATTTACACAACTGTCAATATTTTTATCACCCAAAATGTGGTTAATAAGTCATTAGTCACTCGATTAGTTCATTAAGGACTTTTTAAATTTTTTCTTTATAACACTGTTCTTATTTGATTCTCATTTTTAAAGAGTAAAAGTACGACAATTCAGGTACTTTAAACAGTATTGCTAAATGTTAATGTGTGCGTGACATGTAAATAATGAGGTGCGGATGAGAGCAAGGGAAGTGAAATTAAATGAAATAAGTGCGTTAATTCACATAACTCTATAATATTATTTACAACAAAAAAAAAACACATAAATCATAAAGAATAACACCATGCACTTCAGATAAAATTTGTACCTAATTGTAAGCTGTGCACACACAGGTGAAGAAAGCCACCATGCATTCATTTCATTGTACAGAATGGCATTAAATTTTTAAAAGTTAATGACAATCGTTAAAAAAAATAAACATTAAATTTGTTATAAATCTATCACAGAGATAAAATTTGCACAGGGCAAGGAAGACCTAATAATAATTGATTGGACGGAACATTCTTAAACTATTTAAAATCATATAAAAAATTATATTTGTTCTATTTTAAACTTTACACAGTAAATAATATTTCAGTTAAAAAAAACGTATATAACTATTTATAACTATACATAATTAAGAATTATAATTTATAACTATTAAGCGTAACAGTCAGACGGGTAACAGCAGAATAAAACCGTAATTTTAAAGTTGATTCAAAAAAAGAAAAAAATAGTACTACCAAATTTCTGTGCCATGCTCTGATTCGGATATTGATAGTATTCTAGCACGGTGCATTGGTCCGTCATAGGGAACGGTAACTTTACTGGGAGTGAGAGGACAAGTTGGTGCTGAATGTATAACACAGACATTGTCAGGTTCAGAATCTAGTATAGCGTTGAGCATGTCTAAAGTATTATCCTTAGAATCCGAGGCAAAGGCTATTGTATGCCTTTTTGGGAGAGGCGTTGTCAAAGGACTTAACGCTAAAGCAGATAACTCGTTTACGAATATGTCATCAATGTAAGTGTGATTTTGATTATTATTTAGACATTCACAGTTGTTGTCACAATTCTCGTGACTGTGTTTAGGAGACACAACTGGGGGATAATTGATTTGTTCGCGGAGGAGATCAGCTGCTATTTCAGCCTGAATCATTTCGAATGAATTCACCTTTTTTGCACTATTGCTAAAACTATCCAACTTAAGAAGTTTTTTGATTGGCATCAAGGGGGAATTAGCAAGTTTGTAACTATCGCTCCTTTTAATTTTTACATGAATTGACTTATCATTGACATCATTTCGTTCGGAAGAGTTAATATTATCGTTATTATTTCTATTCGTAAACATTTTCATAACTTCAGCAACTTTTTTATTACCTAAAAGACCTATATTATTATTGCATTTATTTTTCGTAACAACCGATGTTTGAAAATTAGGAATAAATGGTATTATATCGTCTATCCTATCAGAGTTTTCTAGTGTGGACTCATTGACATCTTTGTTATGTGATGTCCTAGTAAGTTGAGTCTTACCTGCAATATCATCTTTCGTTGGTGATAAGCTGACACCCTCCGCATCGTGTATATTAACGTATGCCCCTGTCCTTGTTAAAGCTTCGACTACACGCGGTAAATCTTGTTGTTTATTTATGTCTGATTGTTTTTTGTTTGCTACGTGTGGAGGGGTAATAGGCGTGGCTGATATAATAGTACTTGGCTTAGGCGGAGGTAGTGTAACGTATTCTGTTGTCATGGCACCGTGTGGCTCAATAGGTGCTTTAATTATCATTTTACCTAACTGTGGCGAAGTCGGTTTACTTGTGGGTGGGACTGGATTGAATGGAAAATCAGTTTCATCCGTGATTTGTACAACATCTGCGTTTTCTCTTTGTATAACTGTAGTTGTAGGTCTAATTTCTTGAACAAATGGTCCCGGTTCGAACGTAGTGTGAGCTCCTTTTCTTCTTTTCAGTGTATCGGATGAATAAATCACTTGTCCACGAGAATCTAAAGTAACTTTTGCTCCTTTCCTTTGTAAATCTTCCAGAGTAATTGACGATTTCTCTTCTAGTCCGTGTTCCAAATAGTCTTTACTTTCTCCTAAGCAATTAGGAAGTTCATTTAAGGACACGTATTCTGTTTCTGGTAGCTTTCCGGATAGTACAGCCTGTAAATTCTTTCTCACTACATCGTTATTACCGTATACGCCCTTATTCAATGTTGATTTTTGATTATTATTTTTTACATCGGCTATTGTAACATAATCTCCGGAATCGTAAAAATCTTCAACAACTTCTTTCCCTGAAGGTGATTTTTTACTTGAAAGCTTGTTTGGTAGAACACCTTTTAATTTACACATAAAATTGTTGAACGGATGTAAGGATTTTAATTGATTTTGGGTTTTAGATATTTTGTTGTCTCCATTTTTAATATCTTTGTGTTTGTCTTCAACTGGCAGTTCTAGTTTTGGCCTGCTATTTGATTTCACAACGGTTTGATTATATTTAGAATTTGCATCTTGTTTCCTGTTTGTGCTGTCAATTTTTTCATCTGTATTTCTACTTTCACCTTCATCGTCTGAATTTGTAGGAGTGATGACACACATCGATGGAATACGAGAACTGTTGATGGTTGTTTTGTAACGTATTCTTTCTATTCTATCTGTACCTTCAAGATCTGAAGATTCAGAATAATCTTGTTCGGAAAGACTATTTTTGCCATGAGCACTAGAGACTGAATCTTCAATGGGAGAACTTGAAGTGTTATGACCGGAATCTGGAGAACTGGTACCGGTGCTTTTTTTGGTGCTTTCGATATCTGTTTCTGTGTGTACCTCAACGACAGCGGTTATTTCTTTATGACTTTCATTATTAGCTATAGGACTCCTCTTAGTAGCAGCAGTAACAATTTCGGGTGCCGACTGTATCGATGCCTGTTTATCCGTGTAAGAGCGCATATTATTATAATTTAAATGACTGGCAAAAGGAGATTTTGTAAATGGTGAACCAGTGTTACGTTCTATGCTTGAATTTACACTATTATTGCTTCGGTTACGATTGATTATTGTTAATGAGCTTTTTCTTTCAGGTACTGTTGGACTAACACCTAGTGATTTGTCGCTATCAGCAGCCATTAAAGTGGTGCATACAGTGCCAGCCGAACTAGTGGTCGTACTTGTGGACCCTTTACCAAAAAGTTCATATTCATTTTCTGCTGTCATGTTTTGATTTGAAGAGTTGGAAAGTGCTATCGTAGAATGCAGGGGAGTACATGGAGACATCTCTTCTTCTTTAAGAGTTTTTAGGCCCGAGTCCATATGAAAAGAGGTATAATAGCCTTCTGTGTCACAAGAAAATTCAGAACTAGTTTCTAAATCTTCGTGGAGATCGTGAATTATATCTGGCGTTAAAGTTCCTTCACTAGTAACGCTTCCTGAACCAGAAGTATTAAGGAACTTCCTTCTACTTATAATGGAACTGGGTGGGCCATGATGATAGTTAAGGGAGTTATTTGAAGTGGCCGCGGATGTTGTACTTTTTGGCGGAACTGTCGTTGTCGTAATTTCAGAGCCGATGCTTGTCCGACCCGACTCTGAACTAGCAGACCAGTTGCCGCTCGACGAATGTGGTTCATCTCGTCCTATAGCTGATCTTCTTAATCTCCTCTGAGTGGCCGTTCCTCTTAATTTCACTCCAGTATTAACAGTTGCTGTCGTTTGAACGTTTGTAGGCAGTCCGATACTTTTTTCTGAAGAGGAATATGACGCACATCTTTGATGTGTTCGCCTGTCATCATCTCCAAGACGTTTTGTACGCAGAGTCACTGATTCTGGTTTATGTTCATCTTCTATTTTTATGGTTGCTTTTATGTCTTTATTTTTATCTATTTTAGCCTCTTTAAAGCTATCTCTACTTGCGCTGGGTGATCTACCCATCAATTTTAATCTATTCTTTCCCCACTGTTTTAAGCTGTTAAAATGACTTTTCTTAGTGACGGGATCAATAGGGCTTTTCTTAAGTAAATCACTTGAACGGGATCTGGTGACAGTGTTGTCATCCAATTCTTCAGAAGCCACAGCATTTGGTGTATCACTATAGTAGAACAAACCAAGCAAAGCATTAGTCACACGCTAGAGGCCTATGATAAATCTTTGAACAATATCGCCTGGTCTTGTAACAGCGACATTGATCCAAGATTAAAAATTAAAATAAAACTAATGATATGGCGCTATTAGTGTTCAAATGCAAAATGTCTTAGGATTTTTTTTTATCGTTATATATTTCTAAGCGAATGTGATTAAAGACAAAAATTAATAAAACAATATTTATTCACAAAAGCACTTGATAATCGTTCAGGTTATGTGCTAAATAGAAGTAAACGATTTAAAGCTTCCACTCTATACTGTGCTCGATGTTACAAACGTTAATTCATTTACTCGAGATTACATTAGTCACAAGTATTTTACAAGAGACAAAAAATTATTAAGAGATAACGTAATCTCAAGTATGTGCAAAACTAAAAGCTTACCCAGCGATAGCCTCTCTAAGCTCTTTCTGATCAGTGCCCGAAATGGTGTTTCGTCTTTTACCACGTGGTTTTCTTGTGCGAGTCCTTCGCTTCACGGTGTCCGTTTCTCCTGTTTCTATGAGAGATTTACGTGAAGTACACATCCTATCGAAGAACTTGCCCGACGTGTCTATAGCTACTACTTCGGGAGGGAACCTGAAATTTGAAAATACTCATATAAAAGTGCCTACGTCGCTAATGTTTATTTCGTCAATATTATGTAATAAAATCTGAAACATTTTTTTAAAATTAAACGAACTTTTGACTTTTTGACGTCAAAAATGGTTTTAAACTTTCTTTAAAACCATTTTTCTCTTTTTTTGTGAATACATTTTTCTTTATAACAAGTGACCGTAAGACTCCAAACGCATACAATATTTCTTAAATTATTAGTAAATAAAGACAGCCAATTCGGTAGTGGAAGATGACCATTACATAGGTTTTATATTTAGAAACTGTTTCTTGGAACAAAAAATCTTATTTGGGAGATAGAATATATAAGGGAAAAACACAAGTCAAACATATGATGAATTAAGTTAATATATATATGAGAGCATCTTACTTGGAAGCTATAATTCTAAGCTGTTCATCGGGACTCGGTAATCTATGATCTATGGGTTCATCGTCACCGGAGTCACATTCAGATAATTCATCAGGTGTTAGAGTCACACTACTTGCGATGCGCATCGATGAGTCCGGGAGTGCCGTTATATCGCCCACCGCCTCCTTGGAAGTCCATTTCCTTAGATGTTCCACTATCGATGGCTAAAAGGATTAAGAAAAGAAGATATATCATATGTCTTAATGGAATACAATTCTATATTTATTGCGTACTTACAATGCGTGTTTCTATATCAACATCGACTCTCTGACAAATGCGACGTCTTTTAGTGGTGAGTACAGGTGTGCAGAGCAGGTATGGGGAATGTTGTGAATCTCTTCTTAGCTGATCTAGTATAGAATTTGTTACACAATCAGCCGTCGCCTTATCGTACAAGTTACGTAAGCTTGCTGGTCTGAAAAATTAATGGCTTTTATTGAAACATTCAATATTAAGAAGTGAACTACGTAAATAATTACTTTTATTTTAATATTGTATATGTATACATGTATATTATTTGATATTATTATTTTATATTAATTACCTCGTGTCCACTGTGAAAAGATCCTTTTTGAGAGGATTAGCGGCCGTGTAATGAATTTTGCGCGCTGCAAAATCGGACAGGCTGCTCTCCGCTAAAAAATATATTATGTGACTTAATAAATATGTAATTATGTTACAATTATATATAAAATAAAACTATAGCCCTATAGTGAGCTGTTTTTATATTCTAGATGGGGTAAATAATAAGTGTTGTAGTCGAAGAGATAAAATATATTTCTGTCAAACGTAAATGTTTTTCTAAGCTGTAGAGTATCGGTCATTAGCACAATGTTGGAGCCGACGAATTAACTGTGACAATTATAAATGAATCCCATTATTCAATGCTTTTAAATGCTAACAATGCTATAGCTTTAACTGTGATAACATACATTTTAAATTACACAAATGCGTTGTTATCAAATCTACAAGATAACCTTCCGTTATTTGACTAATATTTATACTGAATGTATCTAACTTTAAGAGTTAATAGATTTCATTATTATATAGGGAATGAAACGTTTGAGTCTTTAAATAATATTACGATTTCAATCCCCTAGTGTTCTAGGTTGCCTCAGGAAACTAGTTCTATATAAAGGTAGTAAAATTGAATAATATCGGATTGCAATAAGAAAGCAAGTGCTATTCATTGTTGGACGGCCTTGGCTCCCAGAGGATCGGGACGATGCTCGCATCGTGGGTGGGTTTTTTAACCAACTTTTATGTAATGATAGAAGAAAACATATTAATGATAACCTGTTCTGCAAATTTAACATATCTTTTATATTTTAGTAGCCAGTTACTACATATTTTTGATAGTTTGCTTAATATGAAATGCTGTGATTAATGGTGATTCTATAATAAACTGAACGGGAAGGAATGCAAGCTAAGTGGTACTAATAGAAATCTACAAGAATGTTCGATATGCAATAAAACGCATTCGTATTCCCAGTTCTCTCAAGACTCTGCCTTGTGGAATGCAATTAATTTCAAACAAGATTTTGTGAAGTCAGCTTTAATGGAAAAAATAAATACTCATACGAGAAATGTTAGGGGCTACGTATAGCTATGTGTTTTATAGTAGCCGATACAATGATGCAGGTGCTAAGGGTCATGAAGGCTTTCTGCGTCACGATTTTGCTCTGAGAAGGACTCACAAGGGCGTATAATTATATCAGTTTCATATATAGCGGTACATTTTATTACTGGAATGTTGAATTATTTTAAAAGACTAAGACGTGATTATCAATGACCAATAATTTATATATTCATAAGTACGTTTTACTTATAAGCTGATTTTTAGAAGAATTTAAAAACTCATACCAAAAAATATGTCGTATTATTTAAATAATAAAATATACTCCTCTTTTGGTTAATACGATAAAATATTCTTGAAAACTTTTAGACAAGATTTATAATGAAACTATTCACAAGCAGGAAAGATTTCAACAGGAGAACCCGGTAAGCTTACTGTAACTTAAAAGTCGAAAGATTAATGTAGTGTGAAGTCATGTTGACTAGAAAAGTTACTGGTGAAAAAAGTAGGTACAATGTGTTGTTTTCAACGCTTTGGGAAATGTAATGTATACGAATATCATCGCTTGGTTTTTTTAAGGTTTTTTTGAAACGTTACGTATAGGAATGTCACTACGTAGTTTTCTATGCTTCAAGGGAAATGTATACGACACACGACTAACAAAGCATTGTATTGCACGTTTCGGCAATATAGTGTGTACGAATATTACAGCATCCTTTTTAAATAGAGTATAGTAAAAAATTTCTAGGTGGAATTCAACAAATAAAATGCTACTTGTTATATACATTGTATTCAATTTAATTGTGAAGCTCTTTCGTTATTCCTTTCGCTAATTATATCTCGAGATAATTGTTATAAAATATGGTTGCATGTATCTAAGCCACCAACTTTCACAGCATATCGGATTAAACCGCTACAATCTTTAAGGCTTCTTGGGAATCATTAAATTTTCCTTATATTAAGCCACTAACTTTTTCAATATTAACCGACTGAAGCCCAATGGCTATAGTGTATCGTGTTACCCGGATTACTTGATTCGATAGTAGTTTGACTGCAAAAGAAGATTACTATACAAAATAGTAGATAAAAAACTTAATAAATTAGCTTAAGCTTGCTATTTTTATACATATTATTATTATATACGTATAATTTCATATTACTGTTGTAATTTGAAATGAAATTTAAATTTGAAGTGACAAATTAGGTCGTAAGTAGTTCTTCGTTGAGCAATTTCGTGTTTCTGTAGCTTCAAGTGATACGATACAAAACAACAAATGAGTCATTCCCCAGTCGCGTATTTAGGGAGCGTCTGAGAATCACTACAAGTGCAGACAGCCGCTTTGTTACAATTAATAGAATTGTCTATGCTATAAGGAATTTATTCTACAAATAGACGCTATTTGTACCTTGATACAACATTAATTTTTAATGTAAAAGTATAATCGTGAATTGAATTTAATGAATAAGTAGAGCGAAAATAATTATCTGATTATACTAGTATTTAAGTCGGCAATGAGGTTCTTTTTAATTAAACTGAAATTATCTGTAATTTAGTATGACTGGTGCTATATCATAAAAAAGTTTAAGACACTTTCCATACGAACTATTACATTCATTAATTATTCAGACAAGTTTTTTTTAAACAAAAAAACTATGTTTAAATAAAAATATTATTAATATAACACATTTTATATCACCTCAAGAGACATTTACTACGTTATGCAATACCAAACATTATGGGAAGTATCAGAACCCGACCATTTCGATTTATATTAGATTCTTGTGAAACGTTTAACTGCCTGTAAAATATGTATAAATTACGTAGTTCAATAAAAGTGCCCCTTATGTCTTCCACGATTTAGTAGAATGTGACAGTATCGATAAATTTGGGAATGCATTGATTGTTTCCAGTTAAATTCATTTATTTCTACCAAGGAATATAAAAAGTTTTAAATACAAAGATTTTTTTTGTTAATTTTTATAACGAAATCAATAAAATTTGCTAAAAGTGACATCGCATATGTATTAAAATTTAAAATAGTGACATCTTCTTAGTCGTCCTAGATAGGTATGATAGGTTTTAATTAATATAAAAATAAATGAACATATTATTTTATACATATTTACCGCCTTAAGTAATAAAATAAAATCACGTTATTTCTATTATTGTATACCACTGTCAATTTGTGTTCTCAATATTTTGCGGTTTCATATAACAATATTATCGCTAATAAAACCACACCTAATATAAATTTTATTACATTATGTATAAGATATTTTGAACACATTTACTTTGTAAAATTTGGCTAGAAATACAAATATATTTAAGTATTAAGAAAATTTTGAATTTAGTAGTAATACGCGTCCTAGTTTAAATGCTAAAGGCGACCGATATTTCTCATTTTATCTCAACTTTTTTGTTCTACTAACTTTGAATTATTCACGAATACAGTCGTACATTGTGGAAGCTGAATAGTAGTGGAAATGTTTTTTATATATAATAGTAACAAGGAATTTTAATTTATACTGGGACCGATGTGCTTTTGAGCCCGCTCGATGTTTTGTTGTTGACGTTGACTGTCCAGTTTATTACGAGTATACGTATTGTAAAGTCAATATTGCAATATAATGCCAACCTTTTGATAATAAACTTTAATAAAACTTAACTAGAAAGTTTAGTACATAATAACCTGATAATTTTACCGTCACCGTCTTCCAGCTTGTGACAGTCACAAGCACGTTTTTTCGACAACATATATTTTATTCAACAAACGATAATGAAGCTGAAAGTAGAGATTAAGACGTTGACTTTCCAAATCAAGTGAGATTAATACTCTTTAAGATTATAATCTAAACTGCATGCTGTGGTTAGAATTTCCATTTGCGGTGGCAGTTTCCGTTTAATGCACCTACGTTTTATATAAATTTATGTTTTAATTATAGGATGCGAAGTGTGAGGCTGTTAATTTATGTAGCATCGAGCGCCGGCCGCTGAATTAATCCTCGCAGTAGATTGATGAATGCGATATATTTGAATTACATTACCGAAATTTCAACAGTAATGAAAATAGCGTACTTTTATTAGCATATACATATATTTAGTATGGAGTTTTGATGCCGAGACAATAATTTATTATATTTTACTGTTATCCCATCGGCATTAAACGACTAGTCAATAAATAACAGCAAGTAAGTTAGAGTCATAGCTATCAGTTACTAATATGGTTGATTTTACGAGATCGTAATCTTAGAGTTAATTAAGATTTACGAACACTACAACAACACAAATACTATAAAATAATTAACGTGCTTTCGAAACAACTATCCATATATAAAAGATACTGGAAAATAATTCTTTACCTGCGACAACATGTTATAAAATCGTTTCTTTACTAACAAATGATAATTTGTACAGTGCAAGGTCGAAGACAAATCATGAAGTTTTTTTTTACCAGTGTGATTGGTCTCACGGTGTGGTCGCTCTGACAACACCATTTAGAGCTATCAGTAAAAAGTGGTACAGAGAAAATAATCAGCAACAGGCCATGCATACTTCTGTTTAAGGATGATAGCAGGAAGCTTTTAGACTGGTTCTATCGTCACGGCAAAAACCTAATGGCCTGTTATTAACTGGACTTTTGCTATAAACGAATATAATCCGCTAGTGGCCTTACAGGATCTTCTTAGTGTGCAATAACATCTGAGGTTATGAGAAATTTTACGACCTCTAGAATGAAATATATCTCATAAGTAAAATGAACAGTATTTTTAGTTAGAATTCAATAGTCGGATGCAGCATTTTAAGTGTCGGTACAAATGTACACTGAGAACTTTGTTACATTGTAGAACCCGCATCCCTTAAAATTTATGGTTCTTGTATAGTAATAAAAATATAGAAACAAAGGCCTACACATACGTTATACCTGCTTTCAAATACTGTTTTGTGGTAAGTCAAATAAGTATTTCCAAATCAAAAGATAATAAAGTAGATGTATGGATATGTGAAGGCTATAAGAATAAAGGAAAACACAGAACAAGGAAGGATGTTTGGGGAAAGGT